AGGGGAGGGGAGAGAAGAGGAGGGGAGGGGAGAGAAGAGGAGGGGAGAGGAGAGAAGAGGAGGGCAGGGGAGAGAAGAGGAGGGGAGGGGAGGGGAGGGGAGAGGAGGGGGACCAGAGAACAAGAGAGCGTGCAAGAGGAATGACAGATCCCCAGAGGACCCTGAAGTGTCACGGTCACAGGAACCTCACCGCAAAGTAGCCTATTCAGCCCCCTCCCGCTTCCAGGTTTCACCAGAGAGTGACCCTAGGGCTAGCGGCCAGGCTCTTCTCCTCCCTTCGCCCGGGAAGGGGCACTCACCTGCAGTGGGTGGCTGCTGGGTGGGCAGCGCCAATCCCTCCGCCCACGCATCCGCTCACCAGCTAGCGCCCTAATGGCCAAACAGACCCGCTGTGGCGGTACTGGGGACCAGGGTTCTCAGGTGGCAGTTAGTGAACTGCACCCACCACCATCCTGGCCGAGTGCCCCACTCCCCACTTCCCAGTTCCCCACCCTCGGCGCGGACGCGGTCGGCGGCGTCGCCCGCCAGTGCGCTTAGCCCAGAGTCCAGGCTCCCTGGCCAGTCTCCAGTTCCACTGGGCCAGGGCACGCGATGCTCCCGCCCATGCTGGACTGGACTGGCTCCCTCTGCAGCTATCTATCCCAAGACGGACACCTGCGGCTTCTGCAGGAACATAGCTTCCTTGGGAACTGCCGGGCGGGCCCGCGCGCCCTGTCCACCCTCTGCCCTGGCGCCGAGTCCAGCGACTCCCGCTCCCACCTCTCCCACCTCCCCCACCTCCCGGTACTTGGCTGCACCCCTTCTCCAGGGTCCCCTCCCAGAGTGCGCTTCCTAACCTGGACTTCTCCAGGCGATGGCAGCTGCAGAGGCTGAGCACAGCCTGGGAATGCCGCGTCTGCTCCGACAGCAGCAGCCCTCAGCTCCTGTCCGCACCTCTGAGTAGCAACCTGTCACCAACACATCTGGTCACGCTCAGCAGAGCCGCAGGCCACGAATAAAGGGATGGGCCCGCCGCCCACTCGGCCCCTCCTTCCCTCCACGCCCACGCTTTCGGCCCTCGGAAAGCGCTGGGGCCCCCTCCGAGAACTCAACGAGATCCCTTCGTGGGCTACGTAGGCGTAATGAGGCTGGGCGATTGCCTCCTAGCGTTTCACGAAGTTACCTGGAGGAAGAGCAGCGTCCAGGCCCAATCGCGAGAGATTCAGCACTGCCGGGGGTGCCCGGCCCAATGGGGCGAGGCTGGGGGTACACAGTTCAGCAAGGCATTTGTGAAGGAATCCACCATGTCTGGGTCCAGTCCTGTCTGTTCTGGAAAGGGCAAGCAACCAGAAGAGGTTATTGCTCTCTGGTGACTGAACCTTACCTTCAAGGCCCTGCTGTGAGAGATAGAGTCATCTCAGGGCTGCCAGTGGCCGGGTAGAACTCCGAGGGTGTTGGGATCCGTTGAAGGAAATCTGATTAAACAAAGCTGAATGGAGAACGGCTATGCCTATCACAGAGCATTGGCAGGATGCTTTTAAAATTCTCTCTGCAACCTCAAAGTGCACTAGCCAGGGAGATGGAAGGTGGATTTCTGTTCCCAGCACCTCCACTCAACCCTCAGAGCACTTGTACTCATCTTCCTCAGTTGGGCAAGTGATGCCCATTCTCCCAGAGTGTCCTGAGAAGCCTGTAATATCACAGCTGCACGTCTGTGCGATAGCTAACTGCCTGCTTGCCACCACCACCTGGATGGTCACTAGAAAGCACAAATTCCATGTAACCTGCTGAACCGAGTTTCTGATCATCCCCCAAATGTGTCGTGCCCATAGTCTGCCACCTCAGTTCATGGCTACTCCATCCTTCATGTTGCCCAGGCTGAAGGCCTTGGAATTCTCCCTGATTCTTGTCTCTTGGTTACCCTCCACAGCCAGTCCAGCAGACAGTTCTGTCCTCTGCATCACCAAAACGTATCCACGATGTCACTCTTTTCTGCTCATCCATTGCTTTCCCCCCGGGTGACGGCCACCAGCCTCTCCCCCCAGAATTAGTCCATTAACTGCCACACAGACTGCCCTTATTCCTCCCTCCCTTCAACCCTCTCCTTGCAGTCTCCTCCCAATCTCTATGCCAACCCCCACGGTGAGTCCTCGTTGCACTCAAAGTAGAACTGAAGTGCTTCTAGTGACCCCTGGGGCCCTTCAGGCACGTCCCTCCCCTATCTCGATGACATCATCTTCCCTCCACTCACTCTGCTCCAGCCACACAGACCTCCCAACTCGTCCTCAACACATAGATACATTCCTGCTTTACTTAAGATCTTTGGTTTAGCTGTTCCCTTGGGCTGGAATTCACTTCCCCCAGATATCTATGGGCTGGCTCCCTCATTTCCTTTAGTCTTGACACAAATGTCACCTGGCCACCCTATGTAACTTTTCAAAGCCCCACGCCCATATCTGGCACTTCCTCTCCCCTTCCCAGCTTTGTTTTCTCTTTAGCGCTTACCACTACCTAACCTCCTCTATAGGTTAGATCCCAAGAGGGCAGCGGTCAGCGTCTGTTTTGTTCACTGCTATCTTCCCAGCTCCCAGCACGATGCTTGGCATGGAGTATCTATTCAGTGAATGTTAGTAGGTTCTGCTTTCCTGGAACTTTTCAGGAAACTCTGGGGGCCACTGGATTATACACACCCACTGGGAAAGGGGCCCATGGATGTCATTACATTTGAAGGTAGTTCATGACTTAAACAAAGGTTAAGAAGGCTGGAGGGCAGGTGAAGAGCTTTGTGTTAGCAACACAAAACTAGCCTCGGGTCATGTCACCAAGGGGCACTGTAGCCCACATGATTGGTGGCAGTCTTACAGGTGGCCACAGAGGTACACAGTGATTCCTTCAGTTACTGGTGGAAAGAGGTTTCCTTGTGGTTGTCACCTAGGATATCCCAAGGTTGATGGACAAAGGATAGAGGAGGCCAGAGACAGAGGCTGGGTGAAGGCTTTCCCCTCACTGAGTAGACTGGCTCTGAGAGCCAGGGCCCTTTTCTCACCCAAAATGCAAGACCAAGTCTGGAGCTCAGGAGCACATCTTCCTCCATTAACGTAGGCCTAGCCTGTGCTTTACCTGCACAACCTGTGCCCCCAATGAGGTGTTGATCATCATCTCCGTATTCCAGATGAGGAAATCAGGCACTCAGAGAGGTGGAGGCATGTGTCCCGGGGCACACAGCCCAAGAGTGGTAGAGCAGTAAAGCAATTGGGCCTCAAAGCTTGGGCCATTTCCACTTGCTATGTGACTATCCATGTTTAGTGTGTGCCATCCTGGCCTGTGGATGGAAAAGAATACCATGGGGTCTCAAGGAGCTGTCCTTCTCCTAGGGGAACTCCTGGTCCTTTTGCTGAGTGGTTGCTAAACAAAAAGCTGGACTTAAGCTACTGGGGTCCAGAGATACCATGCTGAGGCTAATATGAGCCCTGTCTTTGGTCTGACCCAAACCTGGAACTCAGTGGATTTGAAAAATAAAATCACCACCCACCTGTCATTTATAGTCATATTCCTGTGAACAGATGCCAAGTTTTCCCAAGTTCATCTGACAAATGCTGGGGCTTAACAGGGCAGCCTCTGGAATTCTGGGCGTGGCCTGGGCAGGTAGGGGCCCATGGAGAACATACATGCTGACTGGAAAGAGGAAACACACATCCAGTGGCTCTATTTCTCATTACTCCCATGCCCAAAAGCCTCCTGAGGCTTCCTACGGCTGACAGCACTAAATCCCAACATCTCAGCTTGATATGCAAGGCCCTCCATAGTGAGCACAAGTCTCTATTTACTTCTAGATTCTTTTGGTGCTTTCACACATGCTCCTGGGCCTCCAGCCTGGCTGGACTGCTTACTGGACACCTAACAATTCCTGGTTCTTCCGCCTTCTGCCTCTTTGCTCATATATTTCCCACGCCAGCACTCCTGTCAAAATCTTGCCTGGGCTGAGTACAGTGGATCACACCTGTAATCCCAGCACTTTGGGAGGCCAAGGAGGGAGAATCGTTTGAGCCCAGGAGTTTGAGTCCAGCCTGGGCAAGAGAGTGAGACCTCATCTCTATTTTTTTAAAAAAGTCCTGCCTGCCCTTCAAGGCTCATCTCAAAGGCCTCCTCCACAGTGTAGCTCGTCCTGAGTCCCATCACAGCACAGGTGCCCTCCCTCCCTTGGCCATCCTCAGCCCAAACTGTCCTTTTCTGACACCATATGCCTTTGTCCTCAGCTCTGCCTTGTTCCACAGTTTAATAGTGCCTTTTGGGGTTTCCCCAAAGCCTCCCTGATAGACTCATGGCTAATCCTTAGCTGCAGTGTGTGTGGGGAGGGGGGTATTCAGGGTACACCTCTAGATGGCAGAATATGGATCCAGAGAGAGGAAGTGAGGTGCTGGATGTGGCCAGCACCTTCTGGCACCCCCCACTTCACCTCTGGTGCTCAGAGGCCATTGGCTATGCCCAGCTGGAGGCTACCACGTCCACCTGCTCCCTCGGCTCCCAGACTCCTGCAGCCATGCCTCACTCAGCCAGACAGATGCCCTCAGCAAAGCCAGAGACCCCCACACCCCAGGTTCTTGAGCTCCAGGCTCCTGAGGCATTGGCTTAGGGCTTGTGGGCTCCTCATCTGCATAGAGTCCTAACCCCAGGGAACCTGAGTTCTTTGACAACAGCATGCTAGAGGCCACAACCAACAGAAACACAGGAATAAGGATGGACAAGTGCCCTTGGGGAGGCCCAGGGTGGCGACTATCCCATGCAGAGGAAGTACAGGGAACTTGATCTGGAAGGCAGAAGGCACTGGTGTACACCCAGGTTCTGCTGGTTCCCAGCTGTACAACCTCTGGAGCCTCACAGGTCTCATTTCCAAAATGGAGTCATAGTAGTACCGGCCTTATTGGTATGTAGTCAGGGTTTTGGTTCTCTCATAGACAGGAACACCCTTGTCAAGGCGTCTACGGCATCAGTCATTAGCCCGCAGAGAAGAGGATGCTGTTGTGATTCTTATCCTACATACCCTAAAAGACAAGAGGCACAAAGGAAAAGTATTCGGACAAAAGCTCAGGTCTTGCAAGTACGTTCAAACATCTTGTGCTATTGTACACTCCGTAAGCACTTGATATGTCTGGCAAAAAAGGATGAGTCTGTGCCAGGTGAGGATCCAGATTGGGACACTCACAGAGGACACATTGGAATTTTTACCCCGGTAAGGCAGAGGAGAGCCACTGGGAAACCAGTTGACTTATTTATTCTTGCAGTGTTCTTAAACAATTTTAATATTCTTTGGGATGTTCAAGAAACACAATAGAAA